GCCGCGGGGCACGCGGTGCCCGCCCAGGTGGGTGACTCGCGCGGCCCCACGCGGGGCAGCCGCCCCTCACGCCCACTCCCGCGGGTGCGCAGCCTCCGGATGCCCGGGCCGCGCTCTCCCGGGACTCCGTGGCAAGGCTGGGGGGCTGGAGAGCCCGAGTCGTCGACTCCTACCCCCAGCAGACCCGCGCCACGCGTCTCCGGGGATCTGCTGGGGATCCCGGGCCTGGCACACGTGCGACGGGGGCGAAACTCTGGCCCCCGCAGCCTGCGTTCCAGGGGCGCACCCCGGTTCCTCCGCGAGCGCAGGCCAGGGGGGTTGGGGCCGACCAGCGGACCCTGGGCAGATCCCCGCTGGACCCTGGACCCCTTCTCCGTTATCCCCATCAGTGTCCCTACTCCCTCGACTGCCGCTACAGTCCTTCTCTCCCTCGGGGCAGGGAGGGGACTGTCCTGGGGTGCTGTCCCCACTGCCCACGTCGGGCACCCTCTTCAGAAGACTTCCTCCTGCTCTGGGCTATGGTTTCTTCTTTCTTAGAAATGCTAGGACTGCGTGTTTGAAAGAGCAGGACCAGGTGTGTAGTAAGCGCCTAATAAGGGTACATTGGACTGTGAGGTGTCACCTCTTCCCTTGCCCAGGCTCCTTCCTCAGGACCGTCTTGTATCCAGGGACCATTTCGGACTCTGTTCTCTGTGGGCTCTAGGGACAGGAGTGGTGAGGGAGGTCCTCTGGGCTGGTTATCAAGCAAGGCAGAGGTGGTCTCCAAGGAGCCCCAGGGAGAAGGAGAGGGCAGAGACCCTTAGAGCTGTTGTCCAATACTAATGCCACCCACCGTGATAGCCAGTTCAAGTCTACAGAGGGATTGATTGTGTGTCCTTTGCCTTTTTTATGGACTGTCTCCATGTCTGGTTTGATAGAGTAGCCCCATTTTACAGAGAAGGAAAACTGAGGCTCAGAGAATTTGTATTTATGGAAGCGAATGGGGGGAGCTTTTTCTCCAAAGGGGGCATTATTCTCCTTCCCCCCTCTGCGGCTGTGGAGGAGGTGTGCATTTATCCCTTCCTCATAAGCCAACCCTGATGGACACAGGTATGCTGACCGTCTAGATGTCTTGACCAGGAAGGAAGGTGGGAGGTGGCATTGGCTCCCATGGTGATGTGAGGTGCCTTGCTGATCCAAGCCCCAAGAGTCCAGTTCTCAAGGGCAGAGAACGAGAGCTATTGGACTAGAGTTGACTTATTCACAGTGGATGCCAGGAGTGGGTCCTGGGGGGCTGCCCCACGGGAGGTTCTGGGTGAATTTGGGTCAGGAGACCCTAGCTCTGAGGGCCAAGTGTGAATGTGGACAGCTGTGGACCCCTGACTGCGGGGCGTGCCACAGACTCTGGCCTGGGAGGGGGACCTTCTTGCCAATGAGCCTGGGCCTGCCTGGGTGAACCCCGGGGGCACGTGAGCCCCTGTTGAGGAGCAGGTACAGGGCTCTGCAGGACACAAGGCTGGAGTCCTGGAGTTGTTTGCGGGGTTTTCCTCCCACTTTCTTCACCTTCTGACCAGCTCCTGTGTCAGCTCAGATTCCCTCTTCCTGGGACTATTGGCACAGCCTGTTATCTGGTCTCCTGGCCCCTTTCCCATCTCCCACTGATCCTCCTTGGCAGAGAGACCCTTATGCCTTCCTGGGAAGCCTCCTGTGGCTCCCAGTGGCTAAGACAGAAGCTCCCCCAAGTCTCCCAGGCCAGTGTAGGGTATCTGGGTTCTTCCTCCCACCTCCCTGCACACACACCCCACGCCCCCATGAAACTGATGACTAGGTGGTCACTATGCATTGTGCAAGAAGCCCCTGCCCATGCTGTCCCCTCTCTATGGTCCACCCCTTATCCCTGTCCTTCAAGGTCTATTGCAAATGCCGTCCCCTCTAAGAAAGCCTTTCCTTATTCTCGCAGTTGGATTTGATCTTCTCTTTGAACTCTCAGGGCTTTTTGTTCCTTTTGAGGACTGATTACATTGTGCTTTTTAGTCTAGTTGTGCCTTATCCACCTCAATGGATGGAAGCTTCCTTGAGGGCCAGGACTGTGGGTTCCTCCTCCTTCTCATTATTGGCATCACAATAGCTCCTGTTTTTTGAACACCTACTATGTGTCAGGCACCATGCTAGATACTTTGCCACAGAATTGCACAGAAACCTCCCTTACAGCAACTCCTAAAAGGTGGGTGATGCTCTTCCCATTTAAAGATGTGGAAACTGAGGTTCAGAGAGGTGATGGCGTTTCCTAGGATCACAGAGCTGGGGGGCCAGGGGGTGGGATTTGAATGGAAGTCTGCTGGGTTCCAAAGCTCTTTTCCCTCTACCCTCCATGTGCCCGTATCCCCACTCCTGCCCCCACGCAGTCCCTCATACACAGTAGGTACTCAGTAATGTAGAATGTAACTCGACTGAGCTGCAGAAAGAGACCTGAGCCGGCTGCAGGTACAGCGGACTCATTTTGCCATCAGGGCTTTAGCCCATTTTAAAAGCTGTACGAGGGCCGGCCCGGTGGCGCACTGGATAGTGCGCCGCTTGGGAAGCGCGGCGGCGCTCCCGTCCGAGGGTTCGGATCCCACATATGGACCGGTTCCCGCTCACTGGCTGAGCGGGGCACGGGAGCAACGCCGAGGGTTGCAATCCCGTTGCCGGTCCCCGGTCCGGTATGGGGGCAACACTGAGGGTTGCGATCCGTTGCCGGACACGGAAAAAGACAAAAGACAAAAAAAAAAAAAAGCTGTACGAGTATTTTCCAGCTGGTGTGGAATGCATCATGCATTCATTGAGTTGTTCATTCATTCGACAAATAAATGCCAGTGAAGCTGGCAGGAGAGGTTAGCCCTTGGTGCCCTCTGATGGGGATGGGCAACGCCCGATGTCTGGGGAGGAGGGGGAGAGATCTCTGCCTGCTGGGTCTGGCCTTCCTGCCCCTGGCAGTCTTGAGGCTGAGGGGCTGTTCTTTGCCTCCTCATCACCCAGGGGCCTGGGCCAGCTTCTCTGCTAGCCATGGTGTGTGTGTGTGGCATTTAATTCATCAACTTAGTTCTCTCACTTCTATGCCACATTGGCTGTTTTCTGTTCCTCAGGGGAGAGGTTTGGGGCTCCCAGGCTGGATATCAGTGTGGAGTTGGGTAATCCGGGGTACCTGCTGGCCCTGGGGGCTCTCTTTCCTCATTCCACCACATCTCTATCCCTTTGCCTACTTCCCGACATCCCAGTGGGGAACCTGTGTGTCGACTGAGAGTGTGGCTCAATGGTTGGGCACCCCTTCAGTGGGCAGTGACAGGTGGCCAGGCACCCTGATGCAGTGCCGTTCATTCAGTCATTCCCCCGACGTTCATGGACCCACTCTAAGCCCAGACCAGTGCCCGGCTCTAGGGACCCCATGATGAGCACAACCCGGCTCCAGCACTCCAGGAGCCAGACTGCCAGTAGATCACAGATCTCACAGACCTGGGCTTTGCCCCAACTGCTCTTGTCACCTGGCTGATTAGTGACCCTGTTGTCTCATCTGTTGATGTAGAGAGGATTCCCCACCTTGCCCTCCTCATAGGACCCTGTGGGTTTGAAAAGCTGGAAACCTGCCTGGCATTACTTTTTTAAAAAGAATTTTTATCTTTTTATTTATTTTTTGGGTTTTTTTGTTCTTTTTTCTTTCTTTATTTCCTTTTTTTTTTGGTGGCTCGCCAGTACAGAGATCGAACCCTGGACCTTGGTGTTATCATCACCACGCTCTAACCAACTGAGCTAATCAGCCAGCCCCTGCCTGGTACTACTGTGTCGGAGAGTGGCCCTGTCTGTTGTCCTGGGACCTAGCCAGGGCCCAGGGCTCCCCAGGGCTGGGTGACACTTCATGGCCCTTACCATCCAGTGCTTCCTGGAGGAGTGGCCAGGACAGTTGTGTGGGGGGAAGAGGAAGAGTTTTGCTGCTAGTCATGGTGTGTGTGTCTTACATTTAATTCATCAACTTAGTTCTCACTTTTATGCCACGCTGGCTGTTTTCTGTTCCTCAGACACGCTGCCCACACTGCCTCGGGGCCTTTGCACTGCTTTTCCCTTTGCTTTGAGTGTTCCTCCCACCGATATTCCCTGGTCTCATTCCCTCACTTCCCTCTGCTAAACTGGACCATCCTGCCTATAAGAGCTCCTGCCAGGTACTCTCACTCCCCTGGCCTGCCCTGCTGACCTGTTACATTTCTTTCACGTCTATTGTGTCTTCCCATTAGAATGTAAGCACAGTGAGGGCAGTGCTGGTTCTATAGCCTAGAGTAGAGTTTCTCAGTCTCAGCACTGCTGACACTTGGGCCATATGATTCTTTGTTGCAGGGCTGTCCTTTGTGTTGTAGGATGTTTAGCAGCATCCCTGGCCTCTACTTATTAGATGCCAGGAGCATCCCCCCCCCAGCTGTGGCAATCAAAAATGCCCCCAGATATTGCAACCAGTGGCCTAGCACAATGCCTGGCATGTAGGAGATGTTCAAAAAATATCGAGCAAATGTCAAAAAATATTTATCTGAGGGCTGGCCGGTTAGCTCAGTTGGTTAGAGCATCTGAATGCACCAAGGTCAAATGTTCAGATCCCTATACTGGTTAGCTGCAAAAAAAAAAAAAGAAAAGAAAAGAAAAACATCTAAACTTTGTAATGATCCTGTTGTATAGATGAGGAGATGGAAGAGTTTGAAAAGTCAGTGGTGGCAGAGAGGTTGCGGATCCTCTCCCCACTGTATTGGGTCTGTTGAAGCTAGGGGTCCTCTCCCCAAGGTGCTCACACCCCACATTGCTACCCTGGCTCATGATTGGGCCACATACTGGCAGTGACTCAAGGCCCTAGGAGGCATGTGATTTGCCCGGGAGCAGGTAGGTAGGCGGGTGGGGTGGGGAGAGGGTGCCATGGGACAGACAGGAGCAAAGTGGAGATGTTGTGCCCTCTGGTTCTGGACACTCTCTGTTGGGTGCAGGGAAAAAGATTGATGGCTTCAGGGAAGGGCCCAGGCCTCCAAATCAGACAG